ACTTCGGGGTTAGTAGAGTTTTTTTTTTTTTTCTGGTTGTGAGTTTCTTATTGCTAAGTGCACTGCTTTATTTCTTCCATCTACATATCTGATAGGGGATTTTTATTGCTTTTCATTGTGCCCTATTGTATTTTTTGCCTTGTGCTCTGCCTCAAAGTCACGGCAGATGAATTCATGCTGTTTTAACAGAAATACATGTTGATCGGATGTGAATCTCAAAGAAGAATATTGGCAGTGACAAATACGCAGATCAAATTGAGTGTACTTTATTCAGCATAAAAGTATGCCTTAAAACCAGAAAACTTTTCCAAGAGATGCATATGTTACTCTCCAAGTAATTTTCCAGAACAGTAATCATTCATCTTGCTATTTCAGTCACTGCATCCCAGAAGAGGCTTACTGATCTTTCTGGGTTTCTTAAGCTTATTATTTGCAAATACATTCAGTTTAAAAGTTTAGCAACAGAGCAACTGATTTCCAGCTACCTAGAATTGTTCCAGGTACTTCTGATCTATCATTACGAGTTTCAATTAAATTATCTATTTTCCTCAGTTGCCATTCTGACCAACCCTTAAAGGAGAAGGAGGAAGACAAAGGTGGTGCCAGTCAAAAAATAAAATAAAATAATTGTGACCTCGTTTACCACCTGGTACCTCTGAGCCAGCTAACGAAAGGCCATGCACAACTAATGAAATGCTGTTGAGACGAGATGCTCAGGCTTCAAGGGTAAGAAGTGTATAAACAAAGCCTGAAGAAAGAGTCTTTTCCCTTTAAACCACAAGGATTCAGCCTCTCAAATTCCAGAAGACACAGTTCCGCTGCCATAAAATTAAGACAAAATTTCACACAGGAGAGCTGCTGGGAATTACGAAGACCTGGAGGTAGCAGCAAAAATGAGGAAATATTTCAACTGTGGGGCTTTTTTGTCCTTAATCTATTAGTTCCTTTTCTATTTGACAAGTTTTTCATCACTATTTCATTTTGAGAGCAACAGTTTTCTCTAGTCATGAAGGCAGCTAGCTGATCCAAAATGAGTTCAAACACTTGATTCAAAGGTATCATAATTAATGATTTATCAAGCTTCCAAGTCTTAGAATCACACAATTAGGTTGTTTCTCTGAACTGAAATATGGTAACCACAGCCAGCAGGACTAAACTACAGCTTTTTGAAGCCACATACATCAAAGGTGCACATGATCTTCAGCCAGTCAATGAGAGCTCACATCACCATACCTCAATGAACCAGTCATGAACTGACTGATTACGTGGCCAGCATCCCACATCGACCAGAGGCAAAGCCCATTTGCCTACCTATCCCCATCTCATGGGAACCAAACGGCTTTTTAAAAGTCACATAACAACTGCTCACCATGAAAGCTGTGGTACGGCTGACTGGAAAGCATCCCCGCTGCTGCTGAGCAGAGTAAAAACTGTTCCTGGCACCTCCCCTTCTCCTTACTTCTCTAAAGTTACTCTAAAATTGTTGCTTTGTGTTTCTGTAGTTATTTTCTTGGGTGGGACAACAGGGAAATGCCATATTTGATGAATTCACAAAGTTTTAATGATTACAAATGACCGAGTGCCTCCATATCGAGAATGCACAGCTACTATCAAGGCTCAGGCCGTCACTGCTAACTTCTCCCAGGGTTAATGCTTGTGTTGGTGTCCTGCCCTCCTACCTTGCACATGAGCTGTGTATATGCTGACAAAAGGCCCCTCACCTTTGATTCTGGGCATTTTTTACTTTGGGTGTACAGGTTTTTCACTGGATTTCAGTTTCCTATGCGTTTAATTACTTTTTCTACTTCCTGGTTGCATGTTTTGTCTTATTCTTTAAGAATGGAAAAGTTTCAAGGACAAGGGAGGAAAAATGCTTTGGAAACTCTGACTTCTCTCAGCCCTAGTCATTCCCTGTCTTCCCTTACAAATGCCTCAGGAGGTTGGGAGCAATAGTGGAAATGAGCTCAAAGACCTTATCTCTCAACTACAAATGACGAGACATCATTCTTCACTCTCCAGCTGCACTCTCTGTCGTCCCCAACAGTCTGAGTAAACCTTAGGTTTAATTATTATTCATCCAACTCAGAGATTCAAAATTCTACCTCACCACAAGTGCTGGTCCCACATACTGGTATAAATAGATGCTCGGTGTACACTGCTTCAACACCCATCCTGCTGCAGTGGCACGCATTCGTTAGCCCACAGGCTCTCATTTATTTTTTGGACATGAGATCCTTTCTGGTTCTCATTATTTAAGCAGCCAACTACTTTTTTGCCCCCAGGAGCGTGTAAGATCCAGATGAGGATCCAGCAAAGCTGAACATCAGGAAGGTTGTGCTGAGAAAGGAAATTGAAACCCAGGATTAGATTTCAGCTGAATTAAGTGGCTGTGTTGTGACAGCGGTTTCTTAAAATACTTCATAAATTTCTCTCTCCCATCTGTATCAGTGCTTACTGCTAACATGTTTTGACATGCTAGTTGCTTTCTACCTCTTTGAAAAAGAAATGGGAAAACACAAAACTTGGAGAGTGTAAAATCATAGAGGGGTCCAGCAGCAGTTCAGATGTTTGTTGGTTTTTTCTCCTTCCTTATACTTGAGCAGAAAATGTAGCTCAGTCCAAATGGTGCATCCAATACTGCCCAAGTCTTTATTTGGTTAAGACAATCAATTACTCTCCCATTCACATGTCAACAGCTCAAGGTTAATTGTCCCTGTTGTGTTCTGGCCTTATCCCAGCCCTGCCCCAAACCTGACAGTATCAATATGTGTCCAAGGACTAGTGAGGACGCCCCAGCCCAGCTCTGAGAGGCACACGGGATGGTGGCACTTCTGGGCACACGCCACGCACGGCAGAAGGTGAGACCATGATCCACGGAGGGCCAGCACTGTTTTACTTCCTCAGCAGCAACCAGGAAACAAAGTTGCTCCAAATGGGGCTGCTGCCTTTTTGCTTTGTGGCCGTAGCTGTTCTCAGACCTTCTCCATCCAGTGCCTCCCCACCAGAGCTCACACCTTCAACTGCCTCCCCTCAAGGCACCTCCTGAGCTCCCACACCAACAGCTTCTCCTCACCTCTTTCATCTGCTCCCTGCTTTCCTGATGCCCCGCAGAACTCTCTGATGCAGACAGAAAAACTTCCTGAATCAGTATGCCCGGTTTTAAATAGCTTGTGAGGACCCTGAAAAGTACAATGACACTTGCCTGGAGACACAGTGCCTCATCCCAGACTTGAGGACCATCCTGCTCATAGAAGTGTGGGTCCCTCACAGCCTCAGGTATCGCAATAACCAAGGTCACACTACACAGAGGGTGGTTTCTTTGCCTTCAGAAAACGTTCCCTGTTTTTTCAAAGGTTATTGACAGGCTTGGCACTAGAAAAGTGTAAGAAAATATTCCCGTCTTCCTCTGCATTAAACAAGTAGGATGCAGAGGCGAGATGAGCAGCTATTGCGTTAATACAAATGCAGTAGCAATCCTAGTATCAGAGGGGTTTTTTTCCAGCTTCATTTTCCCATGAATATAACTCCCAGACGTACTCATTTTACCCCGCAAGACCCGAAAGAGTTGAAAAATGTATCGTTTTCCAAATTAGGTTATTGATGGAGAATCACTGAGCACCCGGGAGCCTCCCTGCGCAGGGTACGAGGGACCTCTTGTGGTGGCCAAGCGGCTGGCTCGGTGCTCCTGCATGGCAGCCAGGCTCCAACAAATGCCAGCAGCAGATAGAAATTTATCTCCAAATTTATCTCTCTCATTAGAGGAACCTAACCCCTTTAATACACGAGACATTAGTGTATAACCCGATATTGCAATCTAGGTTGCCGTCCTGGTTTCCAGCTATGAACACAAAGCATCTAAAAATAAACCAGCGCCCTCGCAGTAATATTTTATTAAATGCTGTCAAATCTAGTGCACCCTGCCTAACCACAGCGTGCAACCAGCTCACCCAGCTTCAAGCTTGAACCTGGTTCAACAGAGGAAAGAGCCAAACTATCCCCATAAGTCCAGGGTCGGAGTTCTTTGCACAGAAAAGCTCTGTTGGTGACATTGCTCCAACTTGGCAACTGAAGGCAGAATTAAATTAACACGTCTTTTCCTCGCACAGGGGCTCCATCGACTTTAAGAGCCTCACCAGCAGTGATTCCTAGACTTTTGGACCGAACTCAGAAGCCACCAAATGCTGGCCCATGACTGGCAACAGAGCTTCATAGAGCTGACCGACGCGCACTCCCAGGAGGGAGCCAAACAGCCTGTTCGCACCTCTCCTGCACACCTCGGTCGAACAGGGTGACACATCCTGCTTTTATTTAGCCAGTCTAACACACAGCGCAGCAATTTCTACCTCCTGTGTTTTCTTTAAACTGGTGAATTATTTCATGCCCTCTAGTCTACAGTTTCCTCAAAACTGATGCATTCTGTCACAAAGCTGAAAGCAGTATTTATAGGCTCTATACCTATCTGCTGATTTATTGACCTAAAAGATCCCACTCCAGGCACAGAGCCACTTGTTTTCAAAAAACAGGCTCTATATTTGGGTTCCTAGTTTAGAGTCACCTTAAAAAGAGAAGTACAGCCTCCAGCCACTGATCACTCAGTCTGCAAGGTGGCAGGAATATTTATTCCAAAACCAAATTTAATTTTTAATCCCTAGATCAGCTTCCCTCTGTCTCTTTTAGGAAAAATAAAACAACTCAAACCAAACTTACTGACCACATTTGTTTATGGGAAAAGCACCACAATTTGATCTTTTGGAGAACACAAAGTGCTGGACGCATGTGAAGGTCCCTGCTTTCTGCAGAAGAACACAACGCCATTCAGAAACACCTTTTCCCCCATCAAGAGCACTGCTAATACCTGCTGAGATCCAGGTCTAACATGCACAATCACACGTTCAACCGTACCTACAAGGGGCACATCTGCTTGCAGGTTTGTTTGAGGCACCACTACTACTCCCCACAAAGTCCCTCTTTCACGATTAGCCCATCATTTATCCAAAGCCTTAGAAAGGAGCCCAACAAAAGGCAACAAATAGGAAAATGGGCCCTGAGGCTTTACTCACCGGTGTGCTGCTGTCGGAAAAGGTGTTCATGCTGATGGACCTGCTCATCTTGTCCGAGGAGAGGGACGGCGGGGAGGGACTGCGCTTGTCCAGCTGCTCGTGGTGTGGCAGGTCCTGGCGCTGCAGGTACTCACGCCATGCTCGCTGGATGCTGCGGCAGACACCAAGGCATGGGGTTGGGGGGAACGCAGCAACAAAAAGGATTTAAAATATATATATCCTTGACTGAAGAGGTGGCGTTTCCATGTTTTTCTCATTTTTTTGGTGGACTTTGTTTTCCAATTTCGGTAACGATCACTAGTAACTACCCTCTGAAGTCTTATATTAGCCACTGCTAGCACAACCTGAGGTACCTGCTAAGTAGAAGCAAGTCTTTATTTCAAATCCCTAAACCTACAGAAGTGATTTAAATTTGAGACTGTACGTAACTCAGCAATTCTCTTACATCTTGCAAACAAAATTAAAATATGCAATTATCTGTTTAAAAGAACGAACAGCCTTCGACATCTTATATTTATATCAGATTATAACGGAGATAAAGATGGAAGTTCAGAGCCAGACCATTATCCTTGAAAAATCTCCTCCTTCTTGGGTAGCTGGGGACTTAAAACCTCCTCCAAAGCAACAAGGGGGGATTGTGGTAGGAACTCTGCTTCCAAACTCTGAACTTTGACCAGGTTTCTAAAAGCTGATGTGAAATTCTGTAAAGAAATTCCATTTTCTGTGCTGGCCAGTGGCCGGGGCGGCTCTCACCAGGTGGCAGTGCGGGGCCGCCTGCGCCTTTCTGAGGGTGCCAGAGAGACCAGTGCTGGGAATTAAAACTGCTTACAATAGTAATGGTATTAACACAAAGTGTAAGGGTGTTTGCACACAGGATGATCCGTGAAGTCTGCAGAAAAGTGGAGCTAAATTGTGACCTGAGACTCAGCAGTGTTGCTGCAGTGTGACGCGCTAGAAAGAGCTCCTTGTAGGATTTTTTTAAGCAATTGGGAATTTATTCACTGGAATATCAAGTGCCTGAAACCTTCAGCGTGTCTGTTAATCAGGTAGAGTACCCCGACCTTTGCTTCAGTTGGTCTCAGCAGCGCAAAGCTCCTGTGCTGCTCTGCTCAGGCAGCCATGCAGGGAGTGAGTGGGAGCCAGCACTCCTCCAACCCTGCCTGCTCCCGAAGCGCTTGGCACGCTCGGCCCCCAGTCTTGATGCTGGGGTGCTCCCCGGGAGGGGTCTCCACGCCCAAACCCTGCCTGGCCCTGCTCCCACCCACCGTGCCTGCACCCAGGGGCAGCGCAGAGGGCAATGCTCCTTCCTGAAGGAACCTTATCATGTGCTTTATGATTCAAACCGAAGGGTCCAAAGGCTTTGGCATGGATTTACTTTATCCTAGGAATTCTTAGGTTTTATGCTGCCTTTTTAATAGTCAAGATGTCATTTCTGCTCCCATCTCCATAAGCCAGAAAACATTTAGCACCCGGACACCGCTGAAAAGGCATTTCATTACACACTGGCACCTCCAGCTTCTTGGCTTCGCAGGAGGAGGAGGACACTCAACAGCAGGACACCTCCAACTTCTCATTGACTGCCTACAGTACTGGGAACTCCAGGCAGTGGGAAGTGCCTCCTAGTCAGGGAACAACGCTCCCAACGCACGTGGCATTTTGAACATCTCCAAGTTGAGGAAATCAAATATACGTATTTTGGTATTTTTTAGAAGGATACCAGATTAGAAACAAACCAGCATCTCTTACAGCCTCACCAGGATAGGTGCACTTCAGAGCCTGTCAAGTAGGTTAAGACCCTCGTTGTTTTCATGCAGCAGCTTTAAAATGGACAGAAGTATCTACCAAAGCTCTCAAACAGGAGCGCTAACAGAGGAGCTTTCAGTAAATGCATTTTGCTTTAAAAAGCCCCACATCTTCACACGTCAAGCATTTACACTTTGCATTGTTTCAGTTTCAAGCTTTACTGCATAATATGGACAAGAAGTATTTACATATTTATATTTACATGTCCTTTCTATTTTAAAGCTTGAGAATATACCGAGACTAAGTCACAACTACCCTTCCAGAAAGCTCTCTGAAAACTTATTCTTTCATCTGGCGTATATTTGCATGACTAAAAGGCACCGGCTGGATTTTAATTTGAAACTTCATGTCCTTTTAATATTTTAATATAGCGTTAATATTTGAACGTCCTGTATAGCGAGTTAGCTGGGGCTTTTCAGCTGAAAGTGAAATTCAGTATGTCAGGTAGCAACGCATACAACTCTGTGTAAAGCTGCACCTCACTTCACAACATTTTGCCGTGAAGTAGCTGGGGGCTTCAGAATAAAATTGTTCACGTTTTTTGATGCAAGTGAAGCCATGTTAAAATTTTCCTGTCTGTTGGGAAGTCCAGGGGCACCGTGTTAGCGCTGAGTTAGTGCCTGTTGGAGGCAGCTAATGCCTGTGCCAGGGCTGGAGGAACAACGCTGGAAGAGGCACAAAGAGGAGTCCTCTGCTCTGATAGACCCATGGGCGAGTTTTAAGTTCTATCCCCAGTGTTACCACGTGTCCTGATATAGCACGGTCAAGCCTTTTAGAGTAACTGACCCCATCGTAAACCATAGATGTGGGAAGCCATAGAGCCATAGAATGGTTTGGGTCGGAAGGGACCTCAAAGCTCATCTCGTTCCAACGGAGGCATGGGCAGGGACATCTTCCACTGGACCAGGTTGTTCGAAGCCCCATCCAACCTGGCCTTGTATTGCCAAAATAATTGCATTTAGAAGTTGGGGGGTTCATTACCAGAACATGGTGATGTTTATCTCTTCCTTCCAGGTGGTGCAGCTAGGTGTCATGCATGTGCCTCGGCTGAGTGCTAGCAACAGCCTTGCTTTCCAACCCAGCTCCCTTAGTGCCAGATAGCTGTGCTGCACCCCCCAAGCCCAGGGTCCCCTCAGACTTACATCTCCACCTCCATCCTCATGCAAACCCAAGGCTGCTCCTTGCAGAGGAGTCCTGTGAGCCGCCTGGGGAGCTTTAACCAGGCTTCATGTTAGACATGAAAAATACCACTGAAGAGATGTCTACTCGCTCTGTGTCATACTTCCCCTCTGCAGGATGTTCTCTGTACATGTGAAAAATCTAGCAGGTTCTCAAATATTCTTTAGTTTCACAGGGGAAATGACAAAAGTAGTGCAACATTGAAGTTTAACATTTGAAACTCAATTCAAAGAGAATGTCCATGCGCTTAAAGGCAAAGAGCAGCTTAGTACACTTTCTAAATTGAGGCTTTTTTTATGCTTAAAGTTACAGAGAAATCCACGATGGATACAGTCCGTGTTCTGCAGTTTGGGAATCTGACAAAGTGCTGCATTTAAAGACAGAAACGACATCTTTGTTACTTACATTTTCACTTTAGATTCCAAGGGCTGTAAGTTGATATGATATTTTTCGATATTATTTTCTTCATCCATGGCAAGCTGATGGCTATGGAAAAGAAAAGGGGCTTAATGCATCTCAGCATGACATTTTCGCAATCACTGTGAATTAATTCTGAAATTTTGACAAGAACAGACAAGAGCTGCTTATTATAAGGTGTTGCTGTCTCTGGAGGAAGGCATCTGGGTCCCTGTGTCCAGCCCCATTTGTTAACAAAAAAAAAAAAAAAGTATGAATTTGGATTCAGTTTCCAGATCAGAGCCTGCCTGAGTCCTTGCACTAAACCTTCCAGATACCAGAGCTCCAGAGACAGGCACACCCAGCAAAGAAGCCGCTGCAAATAAAAAAAAACAACACTGGCAAATATAATAGATATTCTTGCTAAATTAACTTTCATCCCTGGGGCTACGTTTGAAAAGCTGGAGAGTAAAATGGAAAGTAACAGCGGTAATGCCGGTAGCAAATGAATTACATCAGCAAAAGCCATACAGGAATATGAAGAAAAAATTATTTGTAATAAACGATGACCGAGGAATTGGTGCTGCACATCAATTGCTTTGAGAAAGCAATTTGAAAATGCTAGGAGATCAAAATCAAACATCTCGGGACACTGCTTTGGATGGGACTAGCAACATGAATGAAAGGTCTTCGCATGACAATTTGTAAGATTAGACCCCAACCTGTGGAGTTATTTTGAGACTTTACTGGACACTTAATTACATCATTCAATCAGCAGCAGTTTTCAGAAATTATCCTCCTGGAACTAAAAATAAGAATCGTTTATGGGAGAGATGCAAAATCTTGACTCTTTAGTGAATTGCCAAGTGAAAAACATGGTCTACAACAAAGAGACTGTCCCTCAGAAAGGGCTTGTTGCCTTAAAAAAAGCCATTTCACTTCATCGTGAGCTACTGCAGAAAACTCACATTTACCTTTGAAGCAAGTCTTTGCCATCATTGACCTGTTCCAAGGTGTGCTGGAGCCTTTTGAGTTCTTCCTACAAGGAGAGAAAAAACATTTCAATGTGCTTAGGGGCAGCCCTTGGTTGACATTGGAGATTCCCGCTCAACCTCAAATCACTGTGAACCGACCACTACACAAAACGGTCCCTCAGGTAACGTCTACAGGATTGCTTTCAAATTTACATATCAAATTTACATATCCAAAATAACTACAGAGAAACCACTATATTTATCAATATGTTCAGCACAAGTTTGAAAGAAAATATCAGACCCACAAAAACAATAAGCAGAGCGAAAGAGGAAAGCAGTCTTTCACGTCTTAGGTGTGCAGCTGCTTTGATTTGAGAGGAGATGGTCCTGGCAAGAGGTAAGCAAGCGTCAGCTCATGCTTTCAGGCACCTCTCTCTGTTCTGCAATCAAACAGTATTCAGTCTCATAATTAAGAGAGTCACTGGCTGAGATTTACAGCCCGATGCCTTTACCAGGGTATTCGCAGCAGATCCTGTTTCAATAGCAGAGACGCTGCAAATTTGACTGCAGATGCATAGCTGGGATTCCCTGCATCCACGCTGCCATCCCAGGAAAAAAATCTACCCATGATGTTCTGCACAGGCATTTGGCTTAAAAACCGAAATTGTAGCTGGCTGGCAGGGTTTTATTGTTCAGAAGGGGTGGGAGGCGAGGGGTGGAGGAGAACCTGGTTGCAATGAAGCGCGTGCTCCAGGGGATGCAATTCCTGGGCTGAGCTTTCTGTCCCCTAGCAGGGCACAACCCCACGGAGCGCCCTGGCATCGCGGGGACAGGCATGAGCAGAGCACAAGTGCCCCGTCTCCTTAAAAGCTGGGCTGACGAGCAGACGCTGAACCCCGCAGAGCGCGCGGCTGTGATGCAACGCGACGAGCATCGCCACCCCGAGACACAGGGACGTGCCTTCAGGCTTGTGTTTGTACATCAACTGTTTGAGCAACACTGGAAAAGAAGCCTACACAAAACACAAAGATGTTAACACACGGCTTCTTTTAGCTCATAAAGTTGGGAATCAACCGTAAAAGCAAAAAGCTACTGAGAGTAAGGAAGGAGGGTACTTTGCTTCACACCTGCCTACAGCTACAGGATTCCTAGGAAGGCTAAGAACATTAAAAAACCCAAACCAAGGATATTTTTGTCTTGTCTTATATCTTATCTGACCTGGGGATGAACCAGAGATTTGATAAGACTGGTGCAATCTCCAGGAGCACAACCGATCGGGCAGCTCTACCTTCTGCTTTCCCGAGTAAAGCCGATTTTGTGAAACACAGAAACGTTACCTGGCAATTTTTTAATCCTATACAAGATTCTACCCTGTGTGACATGAAACAAGATCACAGTTGGTAGCTGATTTACTCCTAATACAGCTTTCCTTTCCTCCCAGCCTTGGAAAGACTATTACTGCAAGATATATTTTATGCATAAACTAGATTTGTCAAGACAACAAGTTAGAGGCTTCCCCAGTTTTCGCCCCTCTGGGTCTCTAATTGTGGTGCCATTTTGTGGACACGTTGCAGCTGATAAAGCTGCTCACTGCACGTGATTCGGGAGGTCTGGCTGTTGCCTGCTGCTTAGTGGCCATTGGGAATGATGCAGTCGGGAAACTTCTCTTTATTTTTGCCTTCTTTTTGTTTTTTATTGCCTGCTGTGAGGAACATCCTCTTCTGGCATATTAAAACCAAGCAACTTTCAAAATTATTTTCTTTGAAGCAGAGTTCAGTTCAGAAGACAACCTTTTCTTCTCCCAGATTATTCCGCTGGTCATTTTTTCAGCGCACCCCAGAGCTACGTACGGTAATTCAGAATGTGAAAACAATTTGCAATTGACTTTATATATAGCTCTGGGTGACAAAACCTGCATGACTTACATAAATCATTTCTTGTGTTTGACATCATTTTCTATTAACCTCAGGGTGAAGACTGAACAAAAAAAAAAAGTAAAAAGCAAAATTGGTTGTGACATTTTTGACTATTCAGTCTTTCAATTAAACATCGCTGGGCAGTCTGTATAAAAGCTGTAATATAAGGCAACTACAGAAGGGGCATAGTAATGTTTGCATAATTGGGAAGAGAAGGAGACATAAAATCTATACTAATTTCAGTTTTGCATCATTAACCATGAAGTATTGATTATTGCTCCTTGCAGCAAAATTTATGAAGCTAGCTGTGCTGCTGCACCCACAGAAAACGGTGCGGATGCTCTGCCCTCAGCCCCTGGCGCGGTCACTGATGGGTGGCAGTGACAGCCGGGATGCTGCTCTTCCAGCCCACGGCCTGAGGAGATGCATCTCCCAGATTACAGCAGGAGTTACCCAGCTGCAAACTCGAACTTCAGAAAATTAAATTGGAAGAGATCCATACTTCTGTTGGAATACACAATGAATTACTATACACCTATAAACCTAGGTATAATGTAAACGTACTGGAAAATTTACTGCAGTTTTTGTTTTCCTACGTCAGTTGAGCACAGACGTTAACAGCAATCAGGTAGCTACAGACACATGGAGATACCAAAGGAAGAAAAAGCGGTGAAAGCTTGAAGTGCAAGACTGGTGTTAAGAGCAAACAAAAGTGTCTTTTTCTACTCTTATGCATAATTATTTTCCAGCCCGAAGATCTGTACTTTTAGGAAACTAAGCTATTACAATGACTGACTTATTGCCAGGAAATCTGTCACCTTGTGGGACAGAAAAGACCCGGGGGCTCTATAGAGTCTATAGACTCTCGCCAGGGAGAAGCACTGTGTAAAAGAGCTGTCTTAAGCCGCACTGAGCTGGCTCCCAGTCCAGTCTGCACATTAGAAAAGCGTGCCTTGACTCTGCTGTCTGTATTTAGTTAGGGCAAGGAGATTCTGGGTCCCTCTACCTCTTCCCACTGCAAATCAGCTGTGTCTGGCTCCAAGCAGCCCAAGGACATGCTCTGCGTGTGCGTGTCCAGTGCAATGATTTAGCAACCTCACCCAGCTGCCTTCAGCAGTTTTCAGGGTCTTTTGTTAATGGAGGGACCCGGAGGTTGCCGTAGACTTTGGTCCTCGTTTGGGTTTGCACTGAAATGTCACCTCTCGTTTGACCAGCCTTGGAGATGACGGCAGTCAGCAGATACAGGGTCATCGAGGCAGGCTCAGATGCAGAGGAGCACAAATCTAAAACAATCTAAATGCACTAGTCCCTGAACTCCTTTTGAAGAAGTCTGTTTTAAAAAAACCCACCAGTTATTAGGTGCAAATTCTAAGGAAAGGAAAGCAATCTGCAGACATTAGGTCATGCCTAGGTAAATATTTATCCTCAGTAGCAGGCAATGATTCTTTTTTGTTGCTATACCCAAAAATATCCATTCAGGTCAGTGGAGATATTTATATCTGTGGGTTTACACTGGCACAGAAAAATCAGGGCAGAGGCCACATATTAAAAAACAATTTTCAAAATCCTTTTTGGACATGCATGCTATTGTTTGAGTACTTCTGCCTAAGAGGTCTGTCGCTTGCTGCTGAACGAACATACAACAGTGCTTCCTGAGAGGTCAGAGAGATGCAGATGGGAAGACAAATCTCCAACTTCAGTAGAATCACAGTCCAAAAATAGCAGTAAAAAAGGGGGGGTTCCCATTTCATAATTAAGAGTGAGTATATAAAAACACATCAGCCTTGGGCAGTTCTCTGTCTCATTGATGCTCTTCCAAATTTTAATCAAAATTCTGTTGAATTTTTCTATTTTGCAGGATTTTGATCGTCTATTATGCAGGAAAACTTCCACTTACGTGCATTTCTTCCTCTTCTTATTTGCAGGTCACTTGATGGAACACCACGGTGCCAGTTTGGGATCCTCCTGACTTCGAAAGGCCTCAGTGACTGGAGAAACCCTACTCTGGAGTGGCACGGTGCTGGTGAGCACAGGGAGGATGCTGGAAAACGGCTGGAGCATCAGTGCTGCCTGACAGCCCTTAGGTGAGACGCAGCAGAGCAGAGCACAGCCCAGCTGCTGCCTTGAAGAACTACGTCTCATCAGCCTGCCAGGGCTACGCAGGGAGGGAGTTAGTGCCGAGAGCTTTAATTTGGAAATATCAATAAAGATCGCTGGAGCTTTCACAGCCGCTCTTGCCAGCGAACGTGTTAGCCCGTCTTATCCTTCTAGAGCTGCTGCATTTAAAGGCAAACGTACGAGTTCTTCTCCACAGCACCGACGCAGGCGCGAGCAGAACGGGTCGCTCCTTTCCCAGCACCGCCTCGGAAGCGATGGGGCGCTCGGGCAAGCGCAGCCGAGGGCAGCCTGGAGCCAGGAACACCGCAAGGCCTGCTGCCAGCACGGCCAGAAGCCACGCAGGATCCGTCCTCCGATCAAAGCCACCTGATGCCCCTTTCTGTCACCTAGCAGGGAGCCAATTTATAGGCTTCAACTCTCTCACCTCCTGCCATTTTCCAATCCTGTGGTCGTCAGAAGCGCCTAGAAGATAACGCCGCTCTCTCTGCTGCTGCTCCTCTCCCGGTCCATCGCGCCCGTCTGGGGACAGCAGGCGCGGCGCGAAACCACCCTTAGGGACCAGCTCTGACCCATGTGCCATTCGTAGGCCAGCGCAGAAGCAGCAGTCTCGGCTGCTTTTCAAACATTACAGCTGCTTTTCCTTACTGAAAACGGTCCGTTGCCAACGCTGTTCTGAGCTGCTTACACCCGTGTCTGCTGTTAGCTGTATTTTTAAGGCTTTGTCGAAGAGTGTGTCCCCCCCCACCCCTCGTCTTTTTGTGTCCATAAAGCATCTTAGTTTTTATTCATTTCATAATTTTTCATTTTAGTCCTTTTCATTTATATTTTGCCCTGTTTTCCCAGGAAAGACCATAGCCCCTGTATGAAATGATGTAGAGTCCATGTTTCAGTCTGACAAGGCTTGTCAAGCAGTGTGTTAATTAAGCCTCTTAGCGGGATACAATGAGTCTAAAGAGGATAGAAAGAGCAGGATTCTTTGCAGTGAAGGCTTTTACTCGCTACTATTTTGGGCACCCATTCATGCTGGCATGGAGGCACAGCTCCCGTGGGAAACACGCTGGATTACATGAGCAGCCCCTAAAGCTCCTGCTCCCTCTTGGTACACAACAGGGGGTTTGTCTCCAAAGCAGCATCCCTGGTGGCACCCGTGTGCCCAATATGGGGGTACGTCAGAGGCACCAGGAGCCCCAGTTTGAGCAGACATGAGACCATCTGCGTTAATTCCCATTTCAGGGATGTGTAGAGCATTCTGCATCCCATTTCAGGGGCTGGAACATAAAAGCTAACGCTACGCCCCGAATACACTGAGCATTGGGTAAAGTTGATAATTAAATGGCCGATGGTGGCAACGGCTTCATATCTTGGAACAAAAAGACACATCAGATCATAGAGGCTTTTGTATATCGGGGGTGGGAGGCGGCAGGTCCTATTTTGTTTGCTCTGGCAACCCAACAGGGACCTCGAAGGCTTCTGCTATGAATATTCAGGAAAAGCACGTTAACGGCCCAAGATTAACACAGCTACAGGGGCTCAGTGATCCACAGCTGCCAGAGCGATTTCCCAGATCACTTTACAAAAATTGTGCTGTCAACAGAGTTACCTAAATCTACTTAAGCAAGTTTCACATTCAGATTTAGAAACAAAATATGAATTAGCCTCGCTGAAATGGGTTCCTTACTGCAGGAAGACATAGCATGGACATTCCGGGCGGGTTCCCATATCCCGGCCTGCCACTAACCTCCAACGGCACCTTCGGTCTTTCCACCTCCTTTCTTTTGTGCATCTTGTCCATTTGGGTCACGATATCTCTAAGGAAGGGAACAGCTCTTATTTTTTCGCTTGTGCATCAGGGCTCTGATGTTGGTTAGCTAAAACAGAATGTGGTTATTAACTGCTAATTAAAAGCAAACAGCTTCAGGCTCTCCCATCAAATACTGTCTGCATTCCCCTTCCATGGCTCACCTTGACTGCAGGGGGACCACAGTCCCTCTGCTACAAAGGTTGCTCCTGGTGAGTGTGTGCAGGCTCTGCCCATGCACTCGTCTTTCCAAACCAGCCAAAGAACGTGTCAACCAAAACCTCAGGGCTGCTCAAGGACACAAAGCGTGTCAGGCTGAACCGAAAATGAGGCCAAGAGTAGGAAACAAAGGGCAGGCACCGCTGAAACGTTTCAGGGTGGAAAGAGGCTACCGCTAATTAGAGTGCCACCGGGATGAGCGTTAAGCATCACGGCTGTTCAGCACAAACGAGCGTGCACTGATGCTGCAGCAAGGTGTCTGAGGGTCTCGCTGATAAGTGGAGCGCATATGGAAACAGTAGCCATTAGGCAATTAACCCCCACAGTTTATCGCTCAGGTTTCCATTATTCTGGGTACTTAAGAGATGCTTCACTCAATACGCATTTTCTTGGTTTATTGAAAATCAAAGTTATGCTTGTAGACTCCAATTGCTACCATTTAGGTTATTCTCCGACAAGGACGACCACGTTGCTCTCCATTGTTCTCCAGCACAGGCCAACTCTTAGGGAATTTTTTTTCAAAACCAAGTTTCCTGTAAGTTTACTTGCTAATACCTTTACAGAATATGGTCTAATTTTCCACAGGTCCCCTTAGGTCCTCCTTACAATGCGACTCGGTTGACAAGACTTTTGTGGCTTCTTGCTTGCTTAGTTTGGAAATCTGTGGTGCCGTTGTGCTTTTCTGTGGTACCATCGGGTTTCCCCCCCGCTCCCCTTCACACACAGTGCGTATCTATAATGTCCCCAAACATGCAGCAGCGGTGCATCACCTACAGTGCTAGCCCTGAGAAGCACTTTCTGGCTAAGGGACTTCTCATCCAAGCACTCTGAAATCTCCATGCTGATTTGGACTGCTTTCAGATTGACTTCTGAGCCTGGCCACAGGAGTTCAGGGTGGAGCTAGGGGGACAAGTTCGGGATCACTGAGTCAGGAAAAAAAAAGAAATTGCAACACAACTTCTCCAGCACTTCTGGTAGTTTCTAGATTGCTTTCTGCCATTTACACCCTGACCTGTTCAGCACACGGTGTGACCCAACACAAGAACCAGTAGCCAAGTCCCCACCCTGCTCCTGCCACCAGCATTACAGCCCCACCACCTGCCCAGTGCTGGCTGGGGTTACAGAAGCTGGAACCCAACGTTGGGTTGTAGGTACATCCCTCGGTCCTTCCACTGAAAGCCTAACGAGGCAGGGAAGCAAATGCTTTGTTAGAGCAGCGAGTTTACTGTTGTGTCAAAGGTAAACTCCTCGCTGCACCGTTTCCAAGAGTTTTACTCATTACTGTTTAAAATTCCCAGGGGATGCATTTGCCTCCTGTTTCACAGGACACTTTTGTCACTTAATAGATGAATTGGTAACATTTTCATTTTCTTCACGTAAAGACCTTCCTCCCTTTTTATACCCTATGGACGTAATATCTAATTGTTTCTCTTCCCAATCTTGTAAATCATGACATTGCCCTCTTCTCACTCATCATTAATTCAAAATAGGACTCTGCACAAAACTTCATTGACTACGTCTAGGCCCAGCATAGGGAACAAAAGCAGAAAGTCTCGGCCTTCATATACTTGAACTGAGCTCGTGCCTACTCCCTTTGCTATGATCCTGGCTACAAAAGGATGCCCAGGACAGCTGATATATTAATTCCCCTCCTAAGCGGGTGTAAATGGCTGGAAGGGAAATGCAGCAACACTGGTGATATCTCCCAGGGGACAGGAGCACTCACAGGACAACCTGTTGAGCTCTCCTCCACTTCCCGCGATATCAATAAATTGTTTTCTTTTCCTTCCTTCAGCTCTGCCCTCAGGAAGAGTAATCTATCGCGCTATGGCTACAGAACATTATTTCATAGCTACAGCAGCTCTGGAAACCTTGCACAAGGATGAATACCATTAAAAAGCCAAGTTAGATTCCTTTTAAAAAGCCTCTTCTTTCTGATGCTGTCACTGCGGTCAGGGCTTTCAACAGCACCGCTTCTGCCTCGGAATACATAAGCTTTTAACTTTTGCCAAGGGAACCAACTAGAGAGAGCGAAACCTCTTGACATCTTGGCTTCTCTGCCACCAAAGTGCTTCTGAAACTACAGCTAGTCTGAACACCAAGGAAAAGGTCTGGAACAACACGAGTGCTATAGGAGACTCAGTAAAGAAAGCCGAGGTTATAGTTCAAGGGAAAAAAAAACCCAAAATATATACATATAGGCATATACATACATACAGATGCTGGGAATTGGGTCCATGACAAGAAAGCCAATTTCTGACCGAAATCCAGAAATTCTTGGAGTCAGATATGACAGCTACCCCACCAGAGGCAGCAGGCACTACATGAGTCGCAGGATGAAGAGATGCTATAACCGTATCTCAGATTTTAACGTCGTTTGTATGGGACCTGATGTGACAGCACAAAACCTGGTGTAAATCACCAGAGACTGTGTGCTACGTGTTGTCCGTTATACTTTGCCTTTACCACAGTGACAGCCTACACCAGAGCCAGAGCTGGTCAAGATAGCAACCAGCATGCTGTAGAAAACGCGGAGTTATTCAAAAACGAGTTTCCATTTGGGATGAAACCCAACAACTTTGACATGCCAAATGCCATCACAGACACTGTTAGAGTGACCAGCCTTCCCTGCAAGCCCTGGATGGCAAAAGGCAGCCCCAAAACCCCAACAGGGCATGTCCAGCGCTGGAAGAGCCACGGAGGCAACAGGGCCAAAGCCTACCAGGGCTGAGCACCCATGAACACTGCGCTGCAGAGAGGGCAGGAGAGCCTAATAACGGCACGTTTCAGAAGAAATGAAGCTTTCCAACCCCGTATTGTTTTATGTGGAATAATGGTACGTCAATCTTCAAGAAACAAAAGGAAATGGCAACCTTAGTGTCATGTTGTACTTTATAGCACAAAATCTGCATCTTGGAGAGAAAAGCATCGGCCAAATTACATGGGGAATGGTGGGCGAATGCTTTTACAGGGAAGAGACGTGTCCATCCTTAAATGTCACCAACAGTCTAAGTTTCTTCAGCTATGCCATTACTTCACCCTCCCTCTGAAGGGCTGCAGAATTGTGCCTGCTAAAAACACACCAGTGTTTTGCTGTAATGGTTACTTTACAAAAAGCACAAATCCACACCCAACCGACTCTACCAGAAGAAGCCCCCATCTTCCATCTCCCTCTAAGGTTTTCTCTGCAAGTTAGAGTTGAGGCCAGCTTAATTTTGAGAGAAATATGACGAGATGGCAACCAAGCCAGTGTGAATTTCAGCACGCCAGGAAGAGGAAGGCAGGGGGGAAAATCTGACATGACAGATACATCTTCTGAACTCCCGGTGGAGGTTTTTTTCCCCCAGAAAAAGTAAGCAGCTCTTTTTATAGCTCATGAGCCTATTACTTCTAATGACAACAACAGATGACTGTTTTAAAACTGAAAAGAAAGATATTAATCCAATTTTCAGCTTTTCAGCACGTGATACCGTCTACTAATTTTCACGAAAGAGAAGAATGAAGAACTAATTTAGGAATCAGGAGGTTATTGAAAAAAAATAATCATCACGCATCTATTACAG